TCTGCTTCTTGCTAATTGTTTCACCTTGTTTCAATTATTTAACCTTTCTAAAAATGTCCTCTTCTGTAAAATGGAGGGTTAAGTGAAGGCGACCCTTTCAAGGATCACTCTAGTTGAGATGCTAAGATTAGATTGTAGAGGTTGGTGTGGCAATGACAGAGAGAGCAAGGGGGAAAACAGAATAGATCCAAGGCTAACATGATAATCCAGGCACAGATGATACTACCTTGGACCAGAGTGGCAACTGTGGAGATGGTCAAAAGTGACCAGAGTTTCCTCTCATATATTTCTTTCTAGATAATTATTTAATAAAATGGTTCCACGGCAATTTTGACTGCAGTTATGCTGAATTTACAGATTACTACACTACATACCCAGTTAGAGATGAATACCATGTGTCCATGTTGGAACACTGGAAATCTACAACAAACATCACACTTGATGATGAAACATCAGAAACATTAAAGTTCAAAATAAAATATGCACACCCACCATTACATCTACTGTTTACTTTGGAGCACCTAGCCAATACAATGAGTTTAGTCATAAAACTGAAAAAAATTAATGAAACTCATTAACTTTAGATGTCTGTACCAGAAACAAAAAATCAAGGCAAACAACTGATAAACTAATAGAACGAAGAGTTTAGTTAACTGGCCAGATTCAAAATTAACAAAAAATTTAGTACTTTCCCTGTACATCAGCAATATCTAATCAGAACACGTAATGGAAAATAAAAGGCCTTATAAAAGCCACAGAATTCTTCCCTAGGAATAAACCCAGTAACATACATGGAAAATTATATGAAGAAACTGTAAATCTTTACTGAAAATTCTAAAAGAAGATCTGGATAAACAGGCATACCATGTTCATAGATGGGAATACTCACTAGTGGCTTTCTTATTTTCTTTTTGTTCATTTTTACATTAGCTTGGTGAATGTTTTATATGCACTTTAAAAGAATGTTATTTTCCATAGTTGTGTGTGGTATTCTCTTTCTATTGGGCTGAGCTGATTAGCGACATTGTTCAGTTCTTTTACACTGAGCTAGTTTTCTAATTTTCCTATCAATTATTGACAGAGGAGGGTTGAAATATCAAAATAAATGTCAATTTATCTATTCTTCCTCAATTCTATAAACTTATACTTCATGTTTTATGAAGTTCTGCTACTAGTTGCCAATATTTACTATTATATCTTCTTCATGAATTGATCCTATAATTATGAAATATCCCTCTTTATCTTTGGTATTATCTGTCCATCAGTCTAATTTTTCTGATATTAATATCAGAATATAGCTACTTCAACTTTATTATAATTTTTATTTGCATGGTATATATTATACCATATTTTTAAACTGTGTCCTTATATTTAAAGTGGGTTTGTTATAGACAGCAGACAGTTTGGTCACGTGCATTTTCACCCAATCTAATACTACTGCTTTTTAACTGGAGTGTGTAGTTCTTTTACATTTAATATAGTTACTTATAAGGATGAATTTAAGTCTATCGTCTTGTTACTTGTTTTATATTTGTCCCATCTGTTCTTTTCTTCTTTCTGCCTTCTTTTGATATAACAGTTTTTTTAACATTCTATTTTAACTGTTGGCATGTTAGATAATTTATTTTAGTGCTTGCTGTAAGGTTTACAATCTACCTTTAAACAATATTATACACTTCATGAGTAAACTTACAACATCACAACAGTATACTTCTACTTCCCTCCCACTCCATCTTTTGTGCTTTTGTAGTCATAAACTTTATTTCTCTTTGTTAAGAACTCCATAATTCAGTTATTATTTTTATTTCAAATGGTCTACTATCTTTTATATTTAGCATTTCCTGCACTTGTCATTCCTCTGTGTAAATAGGAGTTTTCTTCTGGTATCACTTCCCTCCTTCAGCCTGAAGAACTTCCTTTATCATTTCTTGCAGTATACTGATGATAAATCCTCTCTACTTTTTTTTTTTTTTTGTGGTACGCGGGCCTCTCACTGTTGTGGCCTCTCCCGTTGCAGAGCACAGGCTCCAGATGCGCAGGCTCAGCGGCCATGGCTCACGGGCCTAGCCGCTCCGCGGCACGTGGGATCTTCCCGGACTGGGGCACGAACCCGTGTCCCCTGCATCGGCAGGCGGACTCTCAACCACTGCGCCACCAGGGAAGCCCAATCCTCTCTACTTTTGTTTATCTTATCTCAAAATGTATGTATTTCACTTTCAGTTTGAAAAATACTTTTGATGAATACACAAAGTTGAAAGTGTTTTAACATCCACCTTTTTAAAGATGCTATTCTATTGTTTTCTGGTTTGAACTGTTTCTAACAAGAAGTCAGTAGTATACTTATCATTGTTCCCCACATATAATACATCTTTTTTTCCTCTGGCTGCTTTTTAAGTTTTTCTCTCTTTATCACTGGTTTTCAATAATTTAATTACGGTGTACCTTGGTACAGCTTTCCTTGTTGTGATTTATTTAGCTTCTTCAGTCTGTGGGTTCATGTTTTCCATCAGATTTGAAAAAAATTCTTCTATGCCTTCAAATTTTTTATGCCTCAATCTCATTATGACACTTCACTTACACCTGTATTAGAATGTTTATTATTATCTCACAATTCACCTAGACTCTCTTCATCTTTTTTCCAGCTTTTAATTTTTTCCTATCTGTGCTTCCATTTGGACAATTTCTATTGTCCTTTTTTCAAGTTGACTTATCTTTCGCTCTAGAATGTCCAACTGACAGTTAAGCCTATCCAGTGAGATTTTCATTTTAGATACTGTACTTTGCAGGCCTAGAATTCCCATTTTGTAAAATTCCTAACTTTTCCTCTCAATATAATTTTCCTTTAAGTTGTTGAACACACTTTTTAAAGACTTTTCCAACTGACAGTTAAGCCTATCCAGTGAGATTTTCATTTTAGATACTGTACTTTGCAGGCCTAGAATTCCCATTTTGTAAAATTCCTAACTTTTCCTCTCAATATAATTTTCCTTTAAGTTGTTGAACACACTTTTTAAAGACCTTTCCTGCTAATTCTGTAAACTCTGTCAGTAAGTCTGTTTCTGTTGACAGATTTTGCTTCTAGTTTTGGTTCATATTTTCCTACTACTTAAAACCTAAGTGGTTTTTTTTACTGCATGCTCAGCATTATAAATGCTACACTGTTGATTATCTGTATTCTGTCATACTTACGAGTGCTAAGTTTTGTTCTGGAAGGCAGTTAATTTAGTAAAGATCCACGTGATCTTCTAGAGGTTTGTTTTTAAGCTTTATTAGTGTGAGTCAAAAGTAGCCTTCACTGTAGAACAGACTAGTCTTACTTTTAAGGCTTGGACTTTCCGAGGTCTCTAAAGCACTGTTTGAGACTGTTTCCATTAGTCATTATTTCTCTGGTAGGTTAACCCCACCTCCACTCCCAAACCTGCGTTATTTTTGTTTACACAGGTATTCCTGAGAGTTAAAGACAGGTGGCTTAAAAGGAGGCAGTTAAAGAGAAGAAAACTATTCTCTCACTGTTGTGGCCTCTCCCGTTGCGGAGCACAGGCTCCGGACGCACAGGCTCAGCAGCCATGGCTCACGGGCCTAGCCGCTCCGTGGCATGTGGGATCTTCCCAGACTGGGGCATGTCCCCATGAACCCATGTCCCCTGCATCGGCAGGCGGACTCTCAGCCACTGTGCCACCAGGGAAGCCCCTATCTCTTTTAAAAAACCAAAGTAATTCTTTTTAAAGATACCTGCTTTGTTTCTAGCATATATAGTAGAGGAAGATTCCTGAAAGAATCCTCAAATCATATCCACTTTTCCACATGCTCACTTTAGGAAGTATCTATGGTCTCTTTATTTCTTAAATTACTCATATAAACAATTCTGACTCAGTAAGAAAAGACACTGAGAATATTTTATAAATATGCATAGCTGTGGTTTCTGTAGTCAAACCTCTATTTTTATACCATTAAAAGGTAAATGTTGGAGTCTGGCGTTGAAAAAAGAACAACGCCCTTCTAATTCATTACAAGGAAGGAAGAATTCTTTAAGGATATTTTAATTTTCTATTCTTTTCTTTATTATCTATACAACCTCACTTTCTGGCTACCTAAATGTATTCAATAGTTTATGCCAAGGATGAAGTGCTCAGTCAAAATCTCCTTTGAAAGGCAGTCAAACTACAAGACAAGAAAAAGGGAGACAAGAATGACAGGTGTCCCAAAGGTACTGCAACCGCAGAGACAAGCAAAGTTCAGGAGAATAGAATATTAACAAAACAAAATGAGACAGGAATGAAAAAAAGAAAGTTTTACATTTCAAAGCTCTATTTCAAAGAAACAATTGACATTTTAAATACAATATGAATAGAAAGAAATTGAGAACATAAAAACATGAAAATATTTTTGCTTAAAAATGAATTATCACTTTGAAAAGGTTCAAAATGTAACTAAATGAAAGTTATCTCCTATTATTTCAAATGCTTTATAAATAAGATCAAATACAATACCATGCCTATACAGTAGGAGAAATAAGAACAGAAAGTATTTTTGAGGGTAGGACCTGCCATCGATCAAAAAAAGGGGAAAAAGCAGTTAGAAAATCTGCTTTAATGCTGAATCTTAAATGTGTTAAATGACTTACATTTTCATAGCAACCTGATTTTTAAAATAAGTAGCCAAACTGATACCATAATTTTTCTTCTTAAAAAAACCTGAAAATACATTCATAGGTTACATTTAATTTTAGAATACTTTGCAAAGAACATTTTAGAAATTTTCTGAATGAAAAAAGGGGTAAATAGGTACTGACCAATTCTTAGTTGCACTATTATTTACATAAAGCATATGTATATCTCAATTTTTTAATGTCATTATAATTAGTATGAATTTATAACAGGATGCTAGGTCCATACTATACAATCAAAATACCTTGAAAATAATTTTTTTTCTTATAAATGTGCTTGGCATTTAAAAATATGTGACTCTTTACCAGCTAATTGGGACCAAAAAATACTTACTTCACTGTGGCACTTAGAAGAAAGTTCAGCTGTGGCATTAACAGGTTGTCTGGGGCTGACAGATAGCGATCAAACTGAACCTAAACAAAACAGAGAAATCCAAAACACAAAGTGCATATATCTGCTAACAGACATCCCAAATAAGCATCTCTTTTAAGGATTAAATCTTAGTAAAAATCCCATATTCCAAATAACGAGTTCTTCATGATCAAAATGAGTTATTCCTTACACATTTTAACTAAAATCTCACTGAAAGTGTCAACTCTTTAATACAGTCAGTATCAGCAATACCTACTTTCAAAATTCTGACCCAAGCCATTTATCCTGATCTCCTGTTGTCGTTACTTACTGTTTATTATTACTACCACTAGAATTCGTATCATAAAGCTTCCAAAGGGGATCATTCCTATGAGGACTAAATGAGTGTCATCCAACTGATGGCTGTGTGTGTGTGTGTGTGTGTGTGTGTGTGTGTATACACACACACACATATAGGCAAAGTATGTACTTAAGATGTGGAAACATGCTACAAAAAGTGGTGCTCATGCAGAAAGGGATGTGCAAGCAAGCTTATCACTTGAAAAGAAGGTAATAAAGTGGAGGTTCGGTGAGCGTCACAGTCAAGAGTAATATTTTAAGATTGGAATCCAATTTCAGTTATCAACTCAGGAAGAAGTCAAGAACTATAAGCCCAGGATCACTGACAGATGGAAGTCTATAATGATATATAGCTAACTCCTTCAAGTCTCTCATTCCTATCTCCATTAGGTTAGGAGTAAAACTCTGAAACTGAAGAAAATCTAAACAGGAATAATGACACTATTAGGGTATGGTGCAATATTACTACAAATGTTATGTCTTGGTCAGATCTCCTTAAAGGAATACACATGTGCAATCATTATGACTGGACCCAACGTGAATACTGCATATGAAGAGATAAAATTATCACCTGAGACAAAAACTATCACACAGGAAAAAATAAGAATAATGTTCCATAAGGAAACGTTATGTTGAAATGCTTTATTATGTACTTACCATTGCAGCCTTCAGTGCCACAGAATCTAGGTTGGGAAAATTAGCTAAAGGGCCCTTAAAAAAAAAAAAGGGACAAAACCAAGGTGAAAACAGGTGCTATATGTTACAATTCACTTCTCAAATACAGTCCATTAGTAGATTGCCCGAATTTGAAAATTTAGCTTATTTCCAAAGAACTCAAGTGTCCTATCTCCAACCTCAATTAAAAGAGGGACTGTGATTTGTTCATTTTGTATAACTAGCGTGAAGGCACTCAATAATATTTGTTGGAGAAGCACGTAAGTTTATTAACAATGGAAATAAAAGGATACTTCAGATTTAATCATAGGCAAGAAAAAAAGGGTAATAAAGCACTGAGGAATGGCAGTAAGACATGGGGGCTTTAAGAGTTTCCTTGATAATTTTAGATAATATAAAAAGGCAGCAGAATTTGCTCCTACTGGTAGAAATTTGCTTATTACCTTATCAAAAGAAAAAATTCAAACCTTGTCCCTGGGCTATAAAATATTCATGTTAATGTTATTTAAAAGTATTTTGCTTTTTAAAGAACGAGGCTTACATGGTTTTCTAGGGTTCCCACCACTCCATTTTTTAATTCTACTGGAGTTCTATAACTTAAGATCAGATGTTAGCCCCAGAAGTATTTACCTTTCCAAAGTAATAGACCATGACTTGCTAAATTAAAAGGGGGGATGACTGCTATTTATATAGTAATCTATGCACTTAATAAATCAATGGTGATAAAGGACTAAAAAATTTACCAATATGAATATTCTTTATATATTTTTCACTACTAATTTTTGTATATTTTCATTACTTGTAACCCAAACTATCTACAGTAAAAAAGATAGTACTTTGGGACACCCTACTATATCTCAGATAGTCCTCCAAGAACTACACAGGTATTATCTCAATCTTAGAACAATCCTATGTTACAGATATTATTACCCTCAATCTACAGGTGAGGAATCAGAGAGAGAAGTCACCTTCCCAGTGAAAAATTGCTACCAAGTGTCTAGCTCTAGAAGCCGTACTCTAAATTGGTGTATCTCTCTAGTTAGGAAGATCCATGTGCTTACCTGTTCGGGTTTATGTTGCTGTATGGTGTTATAGATATAACTCACGCCTGCTCTAGTTAAAACATAAGAAGCTTGCTCATTTATAAGTGTGTCCAAATGTGCTTCAATCTAAAATAAAACACAATTAAAAGAAAATATTTTAGAAGAAGAATAAGACTGATTGAGAGTAGAAGTAGACTAGCCTGGAGTCTTAGCTCTTCATCATGGATGTATTCCTTGCAGAGGCTATGAGGCCAAAATATGAAGGATAGGGACTACTCCTGTACAAAGACTTTTCCTTCCCCGGAGAGGAAGTCCTCTTACAAAAGGGAGGGAAAGTCTTACTTGAGGGTTCCAGGACTAGCCACTAGTCGAAAAATTTGGGTTGCTTCTTGGCTCTTTTAAAAGCTGGTATTCAGCAAGACACAAACAAAAACCACTCATAAACAACAGTGTAAAATAAAATACTTAGAAAGAATTCTGGGAAGACGAGGACCTGATGTCCCTCACATCCACACTGCCTCATGCTCCCAACTTGCTGGACTAACTCAACCAATCAAATACCTCATCTGGAGAAGTCTGAAGGAAATCCCATGGGGGCTGAGGCAGTAAGTCCTCCAGAGGAAAGCGGATTTGCGACAACTAGGGGACTGCTGAGGAACCAGCAGAAGGCTGGTCAAAGATGTCAAGTTCAGGAGCTGCCTAAAAAGACCCAGCTAGCAGGTGGGACTTGTACGTGGTCACCTGTTTTGTGCTATTCTTGGGGAAGCCACCTAATGCTAATGGGGGCAGAAGCCACAGAAGGAGACTACCTGATGGGATGAAGTATTCCCAGGTGGGAAGAAGTTGGCTGCTCCTTCCTTTAACCAGTACAGGCCTGTAAGTCTACAGATCTTCCTGTTATCCCTCACTGGATACTCCCCTCAGTTTTACCAGCTTGTTTACCAGTGGCACAGTATGCTATTAAGAGACGCTATCTGCTACCATCTGAATGTTTGCCACTGTGCAAGTCACTCCAGCAGCTGAGCCCCTCCCCGTAAAAAACTTACAACTGATTTAAAAGAGGTGAGTAGGTTCTATGAGAAAACCCACCTGAATAATGAGAACAAGTATCTTTTCCTGAGGCAACACTACTGAAAGACGCAGGGTACCTTAGTTTTTTTTTAAGTGAATGCCCAAGAAAGTACAATTAGAACCTTAGAACCCTTACTTACTAGTCTTACTGGAAAATCCAAGAAAAACAAGATTGCAAATGGAAATATTTAATGAAAGAGTTATTGCCAAGAACCAAGTTAGTATCTGAAAGAAAAGTGGAAGAATAGTAATACAGAGTAAATATCAAAGAAATATATTAAAGTGAAGAGATTTAAACAGAAATTAGAAGGCAAATTTAGGAGATAAAGCCAACTAATGACAGGAGCTTCAGAATGTGAAAAGTAACAGATGGAGAAGTGATAATTAATTACAGATAACAGAAAACTTTACTGAGCAAAAAACAAAAGGGTGGAATCTTCAGACTGAAAAGGTTTTGCAAAATCCAAGATGGAAATAATAGAAAAAGAGACATACCAAAAAATATCCTGAGCAAATATCTGAACGCAAAGGAAAATCCTTGTAAGCTTCCACATGAATAGAAGAGGTTATCACAAACAAAAGAGAATCAGACTAGCCTAGATTTCTTACTTGAAACACTGGAAGAAGAAAGAATGGAAGAAAATTAATAGACTAGTGATAGAAAAGATCTGAAAATCAAGAATCTTTTACTCGACAAGGAAAACTATCACTGTGGGGCCCGTGCCTTCCAGCATCCACACCCTTGCCCAGTCCTCTCCACACTGACTCTGGCTGGCCCACGTGACCAGTGCCAGCCACCAGTCCATCAGCAAGAATGATGCAGGCTCAAGAAGCACTTACATGGTGGGGCTTGTCCTCTTGGAATGCAAAAAACAACTTTGGAATATTTGAGAAACAAAGATAACTGGTGATAAAACAGATTGCTGGACCAACTGATATATGGGCACATCTTGAGAAGAGATTTAGACAAATGGCAGAGTTTCGGGTTGAATTAGTGATAAACACACTAAAAACCAATGACTATTTTTTAAAAAGATTTTACTAATTATACTTAAACAATTATGCAAAAAAGGAAAATTAATCATACTTCATTATATTTCTTTTAAAAGAAAGAATTAGAAAGTAGAAAACATCAAGCTTAGAGGTCTCAAACTCATTCCTTAGAAAAACCCAAAATGACAAATTTTTACTGTAGCCACTGCCAAACAGTTTATATACTTGTGATAACAAAGAAGACTCAGAGTTGTTATTGTTGTTTTTTTTTAAACATTCTATCTACCAAAAATCACTATTTCAAAATCAAAAGCCAAGAATCTGGTAAATTTTATAAATGGCCTTGTTGTGACTCTTAAGTGATACCATTTGGCTTATAGGACCAGAGCGATTGGCGTAACAAACTGTAATGTTGTGCCTAACACTGATTTACACATAGATAAAAATATATCTGTCCTCTGCAACACCTTCTGCACTAGCTACACAGCTTGAAAAATAGCACGTTATTCACAGTATGGAAACTGAAATTTGCATACAGAATAACAGTTCAAATTAGTCAGAAAAGCTCCATTCCACCACCACACACTATGGCTTGAATAAAATATCTTACCTGTTACATATTCTGGCTTCTCCAAAACGAAACCAAAATACTGAATATGCATGGGGGCAGGGAGGGGTTCTATCAGACTATAACAAGGGATTCATATAAATCAGGTCACTGAAATTATCTTAAAGCCGGTAACTGAGATCATGTATAGCAAAAAGATTTCATCACAGTGAGCAGTCATTTTATGGCAAAATTAACCTGGAACTGTAGCATTTCCAGACGTCTGTCGGTGAATTCAAACAGAGCTAATGTTGTCTTCATCATATATAGTGAATTGACCATGAAGGTGGCCATGTCAGCTGTGCCTAAATTGCTGGCTGATACAGTACACATCTGGAGGAAAGGATCCAAGACACATGATAAAACCTATAAATGAAAAATAAAATCAAATGTATTCCTTATTTCCCAACCAGTGATACGGGTCTGTGTTAACGGCACTTCAGAATGAATGTCAAACTAATGGGGAGCGGGCCAACTTACAGAAGCGTGTAAGAAAAAGATTAAATGGTACGGCAACTGTAATAGTTTTTAAAACAAGCATCACTGAATATATACTTTTTAAATTAAAGGGAACTGGTTTAATATTTGAAGGAAAAAGCAATGAGAAGGACTGTCAAGATACATGGGTTATAAAGTGCTAGAATTTCAAAAGAATGTACAATACAGGAGCAATAAGAATCATTAAAAGTGAATTTACAACATACCTGCACAAAATCGGCCTGACGGGCATCTAACGGTACAACTGAAGAATCGTGAGATGCCAAAACTTCACGCAACAACATGAGTGTCTGATTTAATGCAGAACTTGGTCCAAGATCAGGTGGTGGGAGTTCAACCTAAAATGCAGGATGACTTATCCACTGCTTGTATTTTTCTACTAAATTTTAGTGTCTACATAAATGCCAGTTCACAGTAAAATAATTCATATGAAAGATGTAAAGCTTTGCTGATACATTACAAAATCTACAATCTAGCAACAGCTTATTTTTTATCCTACTAATCAAAATCAGCACAGAAAGTGACACAAGTTTTTTGTTAGATTATCTCAGAATACATCACAATTAGAAGTACAGAATTTGAACTTTAATTCAAAAATTACGAGGAAATTTAGCAGTCCTTGAATTGTAGAATTATATTTTCATATAGATTCGAAATGGCCTGTTTTGTTTTTTAGCCCAAGTCTTAAGAAAGTAATCCAGAGACCAGCACTTCACCTACTATAGTATTATCGAGAATCATCACTCACCTGCATGCCCCAATGTCAGATACTGTGGCTCAATATGTACAGGTTCAGGGTCTAGAAATCTATCTTTCAACAAGCACCCCAGGTGGTTTTCAGGACCCTGGTCCATGAGCCACACACTTCACAGAAACAGTACAACACTGTCACTAAAATCTTGAATTCTGGGGTTAAAGAGATTAATTTTACATTTTGTAACTAGCACTTACTAGTTGTGTGACCTTGGAAAAGTTATTTAAATTCTCAGAGGCTCAGAGGGATTCTGTAAAGATTAAATGGGATTGCTGCATCTCAACTACTGAGTAGAGTATCTGATACTTATTAACTGGCTACGTTCATCATCCCTCCTTGACACTATCATGATACCCCAGAAGAGGTGCCTGTGAATTTTTTCAAAACATTTTTCAAAGTACTTATAATACTAATATAGTCACGTTTTGTAAATGAAACAAAATCTGGTACTCAGAGATCCACGTAACACTACACTCTCATGTCAGGTAGATAGAAAGGCATAAGAATTTTATAATATCAGTATTTATATTAAGAATGTTTCATGTATAAAAGTTAATACATAAGTGACATCAGCAGGAATGGCAAAGTATGGACCTCTGAAAATCCTCCCTCCTTCGTAAAAGCAACAAAAACAAAAATTATGAGACATGCCAACAAACAAAAAAGTATGATCATTTACAGAAAAAACAATCAATAGCAACTCCCTGAGGAAGCCCAGATGTTGGAAATACTAGTCAAAGACTTTAAATCAGCTCTTTTAAATATGTTCAAAAACTAAAGGAAACTGTTAATGAACTAAAGGAAAGTATGAGAAAAAAACTCTTACAAAATAGAGAATATCAATAAAGAGACAGAAATGGTTAAAAAAAATAACCAAATAGAAATGTTGGAGTTGAAAAAGCACAATAACTGAAATGAAAAATTCACTACAGGGAATCAACAGGAGATCTGAACAGACGGAATAAATAATCAGTGAACTTGAAGACAGGTCAATTAAGATTAACTGCTGTGAGGAATAGAAGGAAAAAAGAATGAAAGAAAATTAACAGAGCCTCGGACACCTATGCGACACCATCAACATCATCAGTACAATGGGGATCTCAGAAGGAGGAAAAAAGGGGGCATGCAAAAGGAATATTTAAAGAAATAGTGGGAGAAGAGTTAGCACATTTGATTTAAAAAATTAATCTAAACATCCAAGAAGTTCATGAACTCCAAGCAGAATAAACTTAAATAGATCTACACTGGGACACATAATCAAACTGTCAAAAGACAAAGAGAGAATCTTGAAATCAACAAGAGAGAAGTAACTCATTCTGAACAAAGGATTCTCAGTAAGCTTAACAGTTGATTTCTCATCAGAAAACATGGAGATTAGAAGGCACTGGATGATATATTCAAGGGCTGAAAGAAATATACTGTCAACCAAGAATTCTATATTCAACAAAACTACTCTGTAAGACTGAAGAAGAAATTAAGACATTCCCAAAACTACTCTGCAAGAATGAAGAAGAAATTAAGACATTCCCAATAAACAAAACCAAGAATTCTTTACCAGCAAACCTGCTCTACAAGAAATATTAAAGGGAATCCTTCAAGCTAAAATGAAGGGACACTAGACAGTAACTCAAATTTGCAAGAATAAAGAACAGCAGTCAAGTTTCTGATATCAGTAAATATAAAAAGGCAGTTTAATGTACTTTCTGCTTTTAACTCCTTTTTCCTGGATTTAAAAGACAACTGAATGAAGCAATCATTTTAAATCTATGTTGCTAAGCACACAATGCAGAAAGATGTAATTTGTAACAACAGTATCATAAAGGAAGGGGAAAATGGGGCTATATAGGAGCAAAGCTTTAGTACACTATTGAAAGTAAGTTGGTATTGATCCCAACTAGCTAGATTATTAAAAAATTAAGATGGTAATTATTATTCCCAGGGCACCACTAAGAAAATAACTAACTACACACATACACATACATATATATTTACATAAACGATAAGGGAACTAAAGCAGTGTACTAGAAAATATTTACTTAACACAAAAGAAGGCAGTAATGGAGGGACAGAGAAATAAAAACACTTAGAACATACAAAAATATGGTCCAAAATGGCAGACATAAATGCTACTTTATCAGCAATTAAATTAAATGTAAACACGCTAACCAAAAAAGCAGAGGCTGGCAGATGGATAAAAGAAAAAAGAAATACATTGACCCAACTATATGCTGTATTCAAGAAACACACTTTAAAGACAAAAATAGACTGAAAGTAAAAGGACAGAAAAAGATATATCTTGCAAACAATAACCAAAAGAATGCTAGAGTAGCTATACTAATTTCAGACAAAGAAGACTTTAAGACAAACACTGCTGCTAGAAAGGAGGGCATTTTATAATGTTTATTATAAAGAAGATACAACAACTATAAACATACATGCATCTAACAACAGAGCCAAAAAATACATGAAGCCAAAACTGACAAAACAGAAGGGGACAGTATCTCTTGTGGCGAAGGAATAGTTACGTCGAGTTTGATACCTCCTTCAGTTTTGGTTCCTTTTTTCTATTACATTCAAATAAGACTGAACTTATGACTGAACTCCAAAATATGAAGTCATCTTTATAAAAGTATTTTCTACCCATTCATCCAATTTAAAAAAGATATCTAGAATGTTGTTAAACTGATGGATGATCATTAACACAAGAATGTATTCAGCCGTCAATAAACACACAAAAAACTGTTCAACATCATTAGCCTTCAGAAAAGTACAAATCACAAATGAAATACCGCCACACAACTTCCACAAAGGCTAAAATTAAAGACCAACAATATCAAGTACTGGAGAGGATGTGGAGCAACTCAAATTCCCACACATTTCTGGTGGAGTAAACTGGTACAACCACTTTGCAAAAATGCTTGGCAGAGCTATGAAAGCTATCAACCCAGATATTCCATTACCGTGTATACACACAAGAGAAATGAAAACTTATGTCCACCAAAGACACGTACAAGGATATTCATAGGCACTTTATTTACAATATCTAAGAAACAGAAACAATACAAACATCTATCAATAAACTGTAGTAAATTTGTACACTAGAATTATTACACCATGGTTAAAAAAAATGAACTACTGCTAAACACACCATGGACGAATCTTACAGATATAATAACTAAATGCAAGAAGTCAGACCCAAAAGAGTTCACCTGTGTGAATTTACTTATGTGAATTTCAATAGCACACAAAAACAGGAAACAGGAGTCAGATGGTGATTGACTTTGGAGGCTTTTGACTGGGAAGGAGCATGAAGAAGCTTTCTGAGGTGCTGGAAATGTTTTATATGTCGATCTGGGTGATGATTAATGAACATATATACAAATACAAAAATTCAATGAACTTAAGATTTGTATACTGTAAGTTTTATCTCCATTTACCCTGAAAGTTCATTTAATCTTTTTTTGTTTATATTATGTAAATATTGATAATAACGTTTTATAAAAATATCCAAAATTCAAGTGATTAATAATTATAAGGCACAAAAGAACTTTATGAAAGATATATTCATAACTTTTATGTACATTTCCCAACTATTAAAGTTGAAGTATAAAGAAAAATTTCACATTTCAAAGCATTTGGTCTACTGAAAACTTCATATTCTATATATTAGAACCTTTTTCTTTAATGTATAGAGCTATAACACTGAACAAAGTTCTCATTCTTCTTGTGACTGTTCACTATGACATTTTTTATCCCTTTTGTAGATACGTGCTCTATTAGAGGAAAATGAAAAGGGTGCACCATAAAAGTTCCAAAAGCTGTTTTTACAACCTCATTCCACTGCCAACTTTAGTTTTATTCTTTGAAATATCTTCCATTTAAGGTTCTCCAATTTTCTGTACTGCAGCTTCTTAAAAGACCACTTTCCCATGCGCTTTCAAAAAATAAAATCAACACCAGACAAAAACCCTCATATTTTTTTAGTACATACTTTAATTTTTTTAATTAATTAATTAATTTTTTTTAATTTTTGGCTGTGCTGGGTCTTCACTGCTGCACCCTGGCTTTCTCTAGTTGTGGCGAGCGGGGGCTACTCTTCATTGCGGTACACAGGCTTCTCAATGTAGTGGCTTCTCTTGTTGCGGAGCATGGGCTCTAGGCATGAAGGCTTCAGTAGTTGTGGCACACGGGCTTAGTTGCTCCGCGGCATGTGGGATCTTCCCAGACGAGGGCTCGAACCCATGTCCCCTGCACCGGAAGGTGGATTCCCAACCACTGGGCCACCGGGGAAGCCCAAAAACCCTCATATTTTTAAATTAACTGCTTCATTTTATATATAGACTCCTTTCACTCTAAATACATATATGTTCCAGTAATTAACAGTAAATGGAACTAAAGTGCTTTTTTTAAAACCACTTTATTGAGGTATGATTGACATACAAAAAGCTGTAAATATTTAATGTATACAACCTGATGAATTTAGAGGTAAGTATATACCTGAAACCAAGTCCCCCTAAAACCAAGTTCCCTTACAGAGTTTATGAACAACCTCTTTATCCAAAGCTTTACTCTCTTTCTTGTTCC